TAGATTTTCTTATGACATCACTTTTAGTCTTCTTTTACTTTTCTTTTAAATAACCTTTTGTTTGGGTGCTAACTGCCAAGGTCAAGCGTCCAACAACCCAGATGGTCCATGGGAGAAAGATGAGGCTTTCTACTCCCATGAAGAGGTATAGCCTGGGATACCCACAAAAGCAGTTCTGTTCTGTCTTGTGGTGTCACTATGAGTCAGAATCGACAGCAAAAAGGGCTCCATACAATAGAAGATATAAAATGCATAGCACAGGTCTGTCATACAGGTAATGCTCAAAGATAACAGTTATCAGTATTAGTTTCCTCCATAGGCAAGTTTGTGCTGCGTGATTTATCAATCTGTCCCAGTTCCAGCCATGACCCATCAATCCTCAGTTCAAAAGTCACTTCATCAAGTGACCTTCCCTCGCCTTCACTCTTTGAAGTCCATCTCTTCGCACGTCACCTTGTTTAGTTTTATAACCATTGTCATAATCTGTAATTAACTTGTGGGGTTATTTGTTTACTTACTGTCTTTTCCTCTGATTGAAACCTAAACTCGCATGAGGAGGGAGGGATTCTTAGCTATGTTGTTTGTTATAGAACAGAGTCTGGCTAATAGAATACTGCACAAAATCCCTGGACATTAAAATGGAAAAGAAAGTGAAAATGCTGATAAGGGAATTATTTCCGGGTTCCTTTAAATTATGTGACTAGACTGTATGATTCATCAAGGCAGAGACTTGTCTAATTCCCACAACTAGTGGAATAAACTCATAATTAATGTTTATTAAAAATAAATGCATGTACAAGTTCTACTCAGGCCAGTCTTCCCAGCACCTGTGTCTCTTAAAAACGTAGCCTAGAGATATCTGTGCGGTAGGCATGAGAGGTTGTCTAGAACAGTCACCAAGCATTTGCCGAGTGTCTGTGAGGCTGTTTTCTCAAAGGCTGGTCGACATAGGACTTCACCCAGGAAGACAGTGACAGCCCATCTTCTTGGTTCTCACTACAGCCACTGCTTGATTAGCAAGATGGATGGAGCCTAAGCACCTGTATTTTTAGCAATATGCCCCAGATACATCTGATGCACGATTTCAAAGACCAAACTCTCATGAAAGTATACTCCAAAGTGTTGTGTAATAGTCACATTTAACTGATTGTGCCACTCAGGGACTCCGTTCATTTTCTCACAGTTCTGGAGAAGACACATAAAACTTCAGTCTCTTCCCTTTGAGAAGATGGCTGGGGAGATAGACAGGAAGCTCTTAGAGAACAATAAAAAGCACATTAAGGGTTAAAGTGCGTGTGGAATTGTTAAGCAGTTGATGCCTGGATCTTGATAAAAGGAAGGGAAATACCATTCTCCTGTTGGCACTAGGAAACTAGAATTAAAAGTTCTCTGTATGTCAAGCACTGCAGTGCTGGTGGCATGGGGCTTACACGTTGGATTGTAAATCGCAGGGTTCAAACCTCAGGAGAAAGATGAGGCTTTCTGCTCCTGTAAAGACTTACAACTTTGGAAACCCACACGGACAGTTCTACTCTCTCCTGCAGGGTCACTGGGAGTCAGAATCTGCTCGATGGCCGTGAGTTTGTGTTTGCGTTTTATATGTCGAGTCATTTAGATTCAATTGGGAGCTCCTGATACAGTTCTGTCTCCATCATTTCCAACCTCAACATCTCAGAAAACGTGTGTCTGAATTTCAGAAGTCTGAGACCTTCCCAGGACCCCTGGGCAGAGATGCTGCTAGAAGAGTTTATGGAGAAATGAATTCACGGCTCATTCTTTATAGAACACGAGTGATACAGCAAAACAACTTAGAAAATCCTAAATTGTTTCAGATTGTTTTCAAAATCTGGATGAATGTGGGAGAAATGAAGTCAAGATAGATATTTTAAAATTACATAAGGACACATTAACAGATTTGAGGGGGAGAAGTTAAGAAGTTCTTACTTCATTACAAGAAAACTGTCAATTCAATTAGCATCTATTTCACTTCTACAAGAGGTAGGGCACTCCTCTATGTAATCACGATCCTGAAGAAGATTTTATTGATAAGCTAAATAAATTCCATTTAATTAGTAATCATGTCCGTTTCCTTTCACAATGGAACATAACGTATAGCAGAAGTATGCTACATTCCACACTTGGAAAGTGCCTTATCAGCTCTGAGAATTAGCTTGCCTCTCATCTCAACCTTTTTACTTTGAGGAAAAAATCATTTTTAATTATATGTAAATTTCTTTGCTGTGTCTAATCATCTTACTCCATTTTGCACACTTGTTAAAATTTGAACCATGACTAGGACAAGGGTGGTCTTTTCTCTGCTGTATTTTCCCAGTAGGTTATTCTAAAGATATTTAAACCATGTACAAGGAAGGAAATAGACAGTGCTGAACGTTTGTCTGGTCAATGTGAAGCGCTGGCAAAATTCCACTCTCTGCTCTGCAGGATTCTAAAAAGATGAGCTCATGTATTTAGAGTAGGATTTAACTCTCACTTCTGTCCCCTAAGGGATTCTTCCATTCATGGAGTTCCTTCTGAAATCAGGACAACAGATGAGTTTGGGCAATAATACCTTGGAATGTGTATGGGTGAAAGTGGGTGGCATTGAATAATCAGCTTTTTTAGATATTCTTCAGATTGACT